ACCTGGGAGGGCCAGCCTGACCAATTTTTATATTAACGTTTTTCTTTCTGCTGTGGTTCATACCACTAGGAGGAATTTTCTGATAACCAAACCACCCACGCACTAGTATCCTCTATTCCTTTATTCTGATTCCTTTGACCTTTTATTTGCCCCCAGCTCATTTGTGTAGCTGTTACTTATGCTGAAACTAATTCTCACTATCTTCTTGGGATACTTTGAAGGCTGTGAGTGAGTATCCTCATGTTGGATTTTCTCCCGAAACACACCGTAGATGAAGGCCACATAGAACTAGCTTAGATGTTACTCCTAAACCCTAAATTAAATCATTACCCAGCAAATTAGGATTCTTCAAAATAGGCGCCTTTAGACAACTTCATTAAACTCTATTGTATATTTCCCAGAATGTGTCTAGAAAGGTTTTTATTATACATGAACATTAGGGTCTTTGATAGGTGGTGAGGAACGGGTAAAAATAATAGAGGTTTCCAACTGTCAGTAAGAGAAAGAGGGTAGAGGCAGTCATGAGGGAAAAAAAGTTACATAAGTGATTTGAAAAGTGAATATTAAAGTTAATATTACATGTAGTGCCAGGGTTAGGGATACTGAATATAAAATGGAGGAATCTACATTAAGATTAGAATACAGTCTAATAATGAACCTGAAAAGATAATAAGGTCAGGACGGGATAGCTCCAAATGAGCACTAGGATTAAAATAGAGTTAATGTTGCTCTATTTATTAAAATAGAATTCATGTTGCTCTAATGTACTGAGGTTGAGGTAAGCGCTTAGTCAAAGTCATTTTATGTTGGGACTACAATGAAAATAGAGTTTCCTTTTTCTTGTTTTACCAGAATGGACTCAAAGAGAAGTTGGTAGGGTCATTGACTTGGAAAAGCTGGGGGACTAGGATTTGTGGGGCTGGGCTTTACAGAACCCTTTAATCATTCTGTGGAGAGGTTTAATCATTTACCCATTCTTTCACTTGTCCATATATAAAATCAATGAGGGGCTAATTTTCTGCAGCAGCTATTTCTTGCCTTCTGGGGGTCTGCAGCTGGGTGGGGCACTGAGTCAGGAGAGTCTCCCCCGGTGGCATTACTTAGCCCCATGCCGTGCCCTGAAGCTCTTGATAACTCCTCCTCCCACAAAGCAAGTTTTCTCCAGTTGGAGGAATCACACTAGATGTATTTCTGGACATGGATGATTTCCTCAATGTGCATTGAGAGGCTGAGACTTTTCACCTTGGCTGGGGGGACACTGTGTATCAGGAGGTGGGGTTCACAGTATGGAGACTTACACTAATCCTCCTGGGTCTAAATCATCAACATTTTAAAAAAAGTATTTATTTATTTATGTATTTATTTTTATATCATTCTTAATTTTGCACACTTTTAAAAAATCTCATTGTAATCCCCATGGGCTTCCCTCACCAAATCACCCGTGTGCCATCACCATAGTCCTGCGCGCTCTTCCTTCCCCAGTTTTGATCCTGTTCCCATCCCCACCCTTGTAGAATGTCTCTGGTTTATAGTTGTTCATTGATTTTCATCTTTACTTTATTACAATTGCTTTTTTTTTTCCCTGAAAATCTTCAGCATTTCTAAATTGCCTTAATTTCCACTTCTGGAAAAGGATAATGATACAATTTCACATTGTTGTTGTAGGGATTACAAGATTTAACAGGCTTAAATTATTTTAAATAACATATGGAATAGCATGCTTATTTTTAAAATACTTAATTATGACATTGCAGTAGCTGTTACCTTTCTGAGCAGGGTACAGGATTTATGACCATAGAATCCTCCTAGGTCAAGTCGGGGTTCTAGATGAAATACCACATCACAACAGTAGATGGCGCCAAAGTTCGCATTGTTAAACTTGTCCTGCTATTTACAAAGCTGTGGTTTACCTGGGGTTTGTGGGTATTGTAAAAGAAGAATACTAGGACCGAAAAAGTCAAGCTTTCTCTCCAAGGGTCTGTTCTAGTTTCAAGTCTAAGGTCACTGGGGTATTTGATTACATTATCAAGGAAGCACTTGCATTTGGGAGGTTGCCTGACTAGCAGTCATAGAAACTGGACTTAGTCCAATTGTTACAGGGCAGAAGGAGAGGAGCACCCAGGGGCCTCCAACCCTATCTGCTCTAAGTGGGTTTTGTCACCTGCTGCAACAAGACAAACACACTCGAATGCATAAGACTGTCCATAGAAAAGAACTTTAATACAGTTAGTGTGCAGTAACTAGTGTGCAAAAAAGAGAAGAGAGAGGGAAAGAACATAGTTTCCCAGTCAAGCATCCAGTTACCCATCCTCTCATGGGCAAAAGCCGAGTCAAACAAGGTTGTCCCAAAGCAAGGCCACTGAGGCCCAATAGCCTGCCTTAAGCCTCAGGCCCCTTCCGGTGGGACCCACAGGAAAGGGCGGAAGAGGCCAGACAAGTTCGGAAGGAAAAGCACAAAATCAAGGCAAAGGCTGCCCTGTGAGGCTCCCCCGAGTCTCTCCTGTCTGTTTCAGGCGCCTCCTTCCATGTCCCTCAAGTCCCGGGTTCAAGTGCAAGGTGGAGAAGCAAGCACAGCCTTTTCACGTGTTTCTCTCCTCCATGAGCCTCCTACGTCTTCTTTCCCCACCTCTTTCCACCTCTTCTCCCTCTCAGTCCTTTTCCCAGTCTTTATTCTCCCTGTCAAACACCATGCTTCTTTACGAGGGGGCAGGAAACTTACACTGTTACCTAATATGCATGTTCCCGGGTCACTTTATACAGTTCCCTGGTCATCAGCTTCCCCTTTCCCTGCTATCATTGGCTAGGGAACAAGAATTCAGATCAGATACAGAAGGAAGTGGAAATAACCTGGGGGGAGACGCAACGAAAATATGGTAGGGAGTAGGCTAGAAAGTGAAGAAATCAGGATGATAAGACAAGGGAAATGATTTAGAAAGGAGAATGATAGTACTAGGCATATCAATATGAAGGCCGGTAAAAGTGACATGGAGAAAAGAGAAAATACTAGCTTTGATTGATATAATCTTTGATAGATCTGTACCTCTCCTCACTACACTTCTATTCTCACCTTACACACATACACACACCACATACATTCATACCTGCACAACTACACACACACATTCAGACACACAACATACACACTCATATATTCACACTCATGGCTGTCATCTATTACTGTGGCCTACTGGATGTGAAGAAGACGCAAGTATGTGGGATGCACACTTCCTGACAAAAGCATAAAGAATCGGCCCTCCCTGGTGACACAGTGGGTGAAAGCGCAGCGCTGTGGGGCTATTCTCAGTCCCTGCAGCACGAGTTTGATCCTCAGCCCTGGAGCTGACCCAAATGGCGCAGCAGACCTCTCCTGTCTCACCTGCTGCTCCCTCAGCAGTGTAATTTTTTAATCTGCCTGTTCTGCTCCCCACTCTGTCTCTGGTGAAACCTCTCGCCACCCCCACCTCTGGCCTGCACCCCAATTCTGTAAGCATAAATAAATACAGCTAAAAAAAAAAAAAAAAGCATAAAGAATATTCTCTCGGGCCCTCCCTGGTGGCGCAGTGGGGTAAAGCACAGCACTAAGAAGCTAAAGCTACTTTAGCATGAGTTCAATCCCCGCCGGAGAGGTGACCTACATGGCATGGCTGACCTCTCCTGACCTGCCCGCTGCTCCCCTCAGCAGTGTACTTTGTCAATCTGCCTGTTCTGCTCCCCACTCTGTCTCTGGTGAAGCCTCTCACCACTGCACCTCTGGCCTGTACTCCAGTTCTGTATGCATAATAAATCTTTAAAAAAAATCTTCTCTCACTTAGAAAGCTCATCAAGCCACTCTGCTTCAGCTCTCCCCAGAGTTTTTGTCCTTCCCCAGCAACCTCCTGAATGCCCGCTTTACCTCCTTGTTCCTCAGGGTGTATATGAGGGGATTCAGTGAAGGAGTGCCCACTGCATAGAAGAGGCCGAAGAACTTGCCCCTCTCTTGGGCATAGGGATTTTTGGGCTGGAGGTACACAGCGATGACGGAGCTGTAGAAGAGGGTGACCACAAGGAGGTGTGAGGAGCATGTCCCAAAAGCCTTCTTTCGTCCCTTTGCAGATTTCATCCTCAGCACTGCACGGGCAATGGCCCCGTAAGAGATCAGAATGAGGGTGAGGGGCACAACCAAGATGATGACGCTGGCAATCGCCATCTGGATCTCGTTGTAGGTGGTGTCTCCACAGGCAAGTCGAATTAGAGCTGGGACTTCACACACAAAATCATCCACCTGCCGGTGGGAGCAGAATGGCAGGCGGAGGGTGGATGGTGTCTGGACCACTGACTCCACCAGCCCGATGAGCCAGGCCACCGCGGCCAGCTGCCAGCACAGGCGCGGGTGGATGATGGTGGCATAGTGGAGGGGCCGGCACACAGCCACATAGCGGTCAAAGGCCATCACGGTCAGCAGGATGCACTCAGTGGTCCCCAAGGACAGGAAGATGAAGAGCTGGACGAAGCAGCCAAGGAAGCTGATGGTCTTGTTGGGGCCCCAGAGGTTGACGAGCATCTGGGGAACGCAGCTGGTGGTGAAGCAGAGGTCCAGGAAGGAGAGGTTGGAGAGGAAAAAGTACATTGGGGAGCGGAGTCTGGGGTCCAGCACAGACAGCAAGATGATGCACGTGTTGCCCACCAGGGTGAGGAGGTAAGAACTCAAGACCACCACGAAGAGGATCCTTTCAAGTCCTGGGTGATCAGAGAAGCCCAGAAGGATGAAGCCCATGGGGGAGCTTTGATTGGCCATGGCCTGCTCCCGTGTGGACCTGGAGGGAGGGAACTGTGAGCGGGGGACAGGCTGTTCCCTGAGACTCAGCCTGGGTGCTTGTTGGGGGTACTAGGTGCAAGTCCCCCTTTCTCCTGCTCTCCTGCAGCACCTTCCCTGCAATCACCTCCAGGCCCCCCTGTTCTTCTAGTCTAAGGCCTAAGTGGGAATGAGGAAACCATGTGCTGGAAACAGAGGGGGCCTCAGGCTGGGACCTCAGGATTTCTAGTTGGATGTGAAGGAGGCTGATGTACAAATGATGAATTCAGGCCCTCCCTGGTGGCGCAGCGGGTTAGAGCACAGCACTAAGAAGCTAAAGCC